TCAATTCAAGGGATTACAAAGTGCTTTGTATATAGCCATATCCAGGGAGTAAAAAGCTGTAACAGTAATTTTTGACATAAGGTTATGGCAGCTTTGATAAAGAAATATTTTGGTCAGAAGTTTTCAGCATCAATCTTTTTTTATTCATTATTTTAATCCTTATTTTACACAAACATTCTTGAAGAGATAATAAGGCCTTATTTAAATATTAGCAGGAAGTCTAGCACACAAATACAGTGACTTAATTGTTTTAAGCTTAGAAACCTGTCATTGCAGTCAGTAACATCCTGATAATAAAAATATTTTAATAGAAGAGGCAAATAATTAATTTTAATGTTTCTATTAACAATGAATGTATAATGTAATAAATGGTAATCTAATAATGAGATTCATGCACACTCAGCAGAGATTCTAAATACAAAGTAGAACACTTACTTATTCAGTAAATTTATCCTATTATCTTCTCATCTAAGATAGTCCTCTAGGCCTGTCTGCAATTAATAAGAAGATGTAGGGATCTTAATTTCATCTAATTTAAACACTCACTTTATGAACAGGATTGATCACCTCTCTCCATCACCTACAAAGTTATGACTAAAATCTGACAACATTAATCTCACTTCCAAATGAATTCTAAACAGTAACACAATTACAAAACACAAAGAAAATAGTGTTAAAAAAAAAAGAGAATCAAATTATACAGATTAATGGATAAACTAAGAGAAATCTCCAAAATGTGAACATGGCCTGCAGGTGACTGGAAAGAAAAGCATTAAATAAGCAAACACAGACATGCAGAGAACTTTTTACTTACTTATTTTTAACCTACAAAACGAAGACAACTGCTGTCAAGAAATGTCAACTACTTTTGTCTTAATTTGTTTTTTATTTTGAGAATGGAATTTGTAAATAGAAATGCTAAAAATACTCCTAAAGGTATTTTTACCTGTAGCAGATTGTCCATTACGAATCTAATAGATTTAAATAGCTGAGCTATATATATCAGTACAGAAATGTTTATTAATAAACCAAAATCTTTTGGAAACTTTATAGAACAAACCTGAGGTTTTAAAATATTTTTTGTAGCCATCATCCTGATGTTATTCAACCCAACTATAAAAGCCTTGTTTAAAAATGCCCTTTCACCACCTGTGCATATTCAAATAATAAGAAAAAAAGGACATACTTAAAAATACACTATTACCTCATAGAAAGAGGAAGGAATTTAAACCTCCCATTAGCTTTTTCAAAACTGATTTTTTTTTATAAATAGTGACCACTGCAAAGTTTTTCAGTATTCAAAGTTTTTGACCACTGAAGTATTGCTATAGCACAATTGTCTTGAATATTCTTTTTCTGTTTCCTGCATAGCTATTTTGTTTCTCTTTGTTTTTCTATGTCTCATTTTATCATTATAAAGACAGAAACAGAAAAATCACTTGGGGTATATCATGTAGGTGACCTGAGAGATTTTAGATAAGACATTAGGAAGAAATTATTTTCTGTGGGGCTGGTGAGGCACTGGAACAGGTTGCCCAGGGAAGCTGTGGACACCTCCTCCTAGAAGTGTTCAAGGCCAGGCTGGACGGGGCTTTGAAGCCACCCGGTCTAGTGGGAGATGTCCCTGCCCATGGCAGGAGTTTGGAACTAGATGATCTCTAAGTTCCGTTCCAACTCAAGCCATTCTATGATTCTGTGTGAGCAGTAATCAACCATAACAGAGTAGAGATTTTTGCTGTCACTAAGGAAAATTTTGTAAACATTACACCATCTGTGGATTTCCCTTGTGTTTCTAGGAATTCTGGAATTTGTCAACCAGCCTCCACTGATGGAGCTGAGCTGTACCGATCTGGAAAAAGGTATCATACTCCGTAAGGTTTAAAGGAAATGAACAATCCAAGTCAAGAGATGGCTTTTGTAGGCATTCACTGAGCTGAAGTGCTCTTGTATGAGTTCACCCCATATTAGACCTGAAGAGTCCATTTTGAACAAAGGAACAATTTCAGTTTGATGTTGCACCTTACATAAAACCAGAAAATCTAACCAGTAGGAAGAAAATACTGTAGGAAGCTAGGATATATTTTTGTTGTACTTTTTGAGGCTATTTCTTTGTTGTTGTTGTTATTATGTTGGGTTGGCTATTTTTTTTTGCCATGGAGAAGTAAGTAACAGATCAACAGTCCACAGTTTAATAGCAACACTCCAGGAATCTTCAAGAGAATGAAAATTTGGAACATATTTAGGATCTACACTTTACTATGTAGTAGATGATGGAGCTATCAAGAATATTGCTCTCTTCATTTAACCTCTAGACACTTTGACTTAAGGTAATATAATTTTAAAACTAGAAAAAAGTCTTAATCACATTACTAGCAATTTAAAACAAGGTGAAAATGTCCATTTGGTCATTATTTTTTAGAGCACGGGCAACCTTCACCACAATCCAAAATACCAAATAACGCTTTCTCGTTGTCACAGGTAAATGAAACATGGCTTCTCACACAGAATTTACATCTGTATAATAGCAAAGAGAGCAACAAAACTTACATTTTGACATCACAGTGACCTACTGGGTTCAAAGAGCAGATTCTTTCTCATTATAACTCTCTCAAGAATAATATCACTTTGGTATTTTCTTGGCATTTGTAAACAGCTGTTTACAAAAAAGCCATCATAAACATCGGCAAAAAAATGAAAATAACTGCACTTGACTAGAAAATTGGGTATTAGTTACACTTCTGATCACAAGATTTGCCAAGGGCTTTATTTAACCACCATTCAGGCCAGTCAACATTCCACATACTTCTGAAGCTTTCAAACATGTTTGTTTATACAGATTATGACACTAGTGGTAACTACGATGAGTCACTTTGTTTTCACTAAAGTAGAATTAGCTGTTATAATCACTTAAATAAAATTAGACAACATAGGTATTCCATTTTTATCTTAGGGGTTTCTGGTGATATTAGTAAAATTCTTTGTTCCACAAAACTGCCACATGTCAGTCCACTGTAGATTGAGGATTTGGGGTCTTAAGGCATTTATTCCATCTCATCATGCCAGTTTGCTACTTTGCTGCTCATTTAGGTAGGTGATTTGGAATGTAGAAAAGTCGTGGTCTTGACACATACTGTGGTTAGAAGAAGTGAGGTAGTTAAAGAGGGACACCTATATTTTAAATAAGGGGTTTTCCATTTTCCCACACAAGTTTTTCCTCATTTACTTCTCTGAACTCAAGAAAACAGTATTAATCAACTTCTTATTTAAGTTGATCAGAGTTTTATTTAATTGGAGAGCTTATCACTAGAAAAAGTCAAAGGAGGACAGAGGCATAAGTGTACCAAACAAGACAACAAGAAATGGCATATTAGTAACTTCCTTTCTCCCCCCTCTAAAACTTGGTAACTTCCTTCCTCCAAAAAGCAGCAATATGAAAAAAAAATGTACATTATATGAGAGGGAATACAGCAGAACAGAGAAGTATTTTCTCCATGGTTCTTAGGTTTAAGAATAAATACGGCAAGAATTACAAAGTTGATACATTCATTAAAGAACAAGAAAGTGCATACTCAAATTATTGTACGCCAGACCTATTTTCTGGAAGAGCTTCCAGTTAGGTATGAACTCCCCACATGCCACAGTAAGTAAGTCGTTGTATCAGTAAGTCAGTAGTTGTACCACATGTCATATTAAGTAAGGAGTTGTATCAGAACCGAATCCATAGGTGACTCATAAGAGCATTTTATTTTGACACAGGAGACCTGTTTTGAACCAAGTTCCCTGGTTGTCCCCACTTAACCAGCTTTGATTTGCGCTGTGGAACCATCCCAGAGTTTGCTAACTGAATTCCTTTGTGAGAATGCAAGAATACCTACAACACACTCTAACCGCTAAAAGGCACTCAGCGGCCTTGGGTCCATCCAGCCTGAACTCGAATTAATCTGAAGTCAAACGCCTGAAACAGGCATTTGACTTCAGATTAATCAACAAATCCTCTGACCCATCTTGTTTACAGCGACCTCTTTTGTTTCACATCAGTAGTTAGCAATGGCATGTTTTCAGTCCTTGGGCAATGCTATTTCTTCAGTAATATCACCATTGTAATTTAGGAGTTACATATAAAAATTAAAAGCTTGAGTTCATTTGTGCCTATGCTTAGGTTAACCACATTTTACGGATTACTACTTGCATATAAAAACAATTCCAAGCAAAAAAGTTCACATCTAGTACTTTTCTTGAGTAGGTGGCTAAGTAGCAAGGTGAATGCACTAACCTTTTAATTTTAGAAAAAAAAATTTGGATTAAATTCCAAAATAAAGGTCATATGACAAACTTACCCTGAACACCTTTGATTACTGTCCATAGTTTTAAATTACTCAGACGGCACCACAGATAATATTCTAAATTCACTAAAAGCAAAGACAAGGTGCTGCATAAAAGGATAGTAAGACTGCTCATAAACAGGGAGAAAAATCAACCTTCCTGCTCCATATGAATAGAACTGTATATTTGTATAGACATTGTATTTTATACGTGAACTATGGAAGACTGGGAGGAGACAGTAGTAAGGAAAGAACCACATAGCAACATAACTGTTCATGACTACTGCTCTATCCATGCTTCACAAAATCTATTAACTGAAGTCATCATTCAAGCTCATTTCCTACTTTCGAATACAGAAAAAAGTCCAACAGCATGGGATCAGAGTCTGAACACTGCTACTGTGCATTATGAAATCCACATTCTTGCCATGAGATGCACAGTCATGTTTGCTTGTCCTTTACAGGATTGTAAGTGAAGAATCAAACTTTCATCATGTTACTGCACTGGTAACAGGGAAAAATTCCAAACGCTACTAAAACTAAATCTTTAACTTCACTTAAAATGTTTGTAATACAATTTATAAACAGAAAACCAAAGTGGTAATTTCTTCTACTTAAAGCCCTTTAGATATAAATATAATTATACATTTAAATTTTTATATGTATTTAAAAAGATACTTACTGTTCTAAGAGTTGATCATATTTTCTTAAAGCATCCTTTTCAGCAACAACTGCTCTTTCTTTTTCAGACACAGCATTATCTCTTGCTTCTCTCAAGTTTCTGAAGGAAACAAAAGTGATTCTGTCAAGGACTTGTTAGTAAAAAGATTATTTTGCTTCCTGAATTAGTATTGACTGATCTTCAATATTACCTTCTTCAGTTCCCATAGAATGATAAGACAGGGTCACGCCTGTCTATCAGCAGCTTTAATTCAGATGTAAAGTTTCCAGTTCTGAAATTCTAAAAACAATTATCAAACCACCTATTTATATGTAGAAATACATGAATAATTCTAGACGATCAGAACTATAAATTACTTAGTTTTTGTAGGAATTAAATAAATTCCAATAATTTGCTTGCTATTCAGTAATAACTAAGGGAATGCTGGCCCCCTAGCCAAGATGATTCACAGCTTTTATGATGGAGCAGGAAAAGATGAGCTGGGCATAGAAATCCTGCTTCCATACAAAACCAATTGGCTAAGTAGTCCAGTATTAGAGGTCACTGCACATCATCAGCGTCTCCTTCTGGCTTCTATTGCTGGCATCATTTTTGATCTGCACAGAACCATAAAATGTAACACAAACATTTTATTGCAATCGATCTATACTTCTCCAATTTTTTAATCAAGGATCAGACGAGACTTACAAACTACCTCATGATTATTTCACTGACACAGATGAGAATATCACGATAGAAGGAATAATACGTATAGGATTTGTGTTAGGTATTTAGTCTGCCTGTAGCATGACGCTTCAATAAACTGTATTAAGTACTGCTTAGACAGTATTTATAAGCTGTATCTCCACTATTTAGTGCAACACAAGTAACTGCCAATTTGCAGAGCAAACGGTGGTTGTTGAGGACCAGACACCTCTGTTACGACTATTTTCAAGGATTTTACTTTACTGTTGGCTTGATCCTGTGACTTGAACACCTACTAGCATTTGGAATAAATTAAACCATTTTAGAGACTCCTTTCAGTTTTGTTTCATCTAAAAGGAATCCTGCTCATGTGAGTACGATACCAGAAATTCAAGCACAAACAGTGAGGCAACCAAAAAGGTGTCAAACAGCAATGATGAGGGGGTTTCACTTCAAAATTGCATTCTTCATCTAGACTACAGTGTCAATGTAAATGCAACCAAGCTCTTCCCACTGAAGTTGTTTCTTCCTCCCTTCTCCATAGGAACTTTTTGACTTAAACTAAAGTGAAATTATAGTCTCGGGCAAATTTTGAAGAAAAAAGTCATCAAGATATCAAGATAAATAGAAAATTATTAAGCCCATATAAATGTTATCTAAGTCATTTTAGTCACACTCTAACATCTATAGAATTTTTGGATTAAAACTTTTTTTCTAGACTAAGGAAATGTTATTCAATGGTACTTTTCTTAACTCAAAGCAAATTCAGGAACTGATCTTGAGAGCAGATTCCTTAAAACTGACTCATACCAAAGAACATAGTAAAGAACACACAAGAACATAGTAAAGAACACACAAGAACATAGTAAAGAACACACAAGAACATAGTAAAGAACACACAAGAACACACAAGAACACAGTAATGAATTTTGCTAACAGCATTAAAATTAAGCATTTGATGTCTTGGAGTAGGAGTGTAAGGTTGTATTCCTCATACTAGAGTAATGGAAGTGAGATAAGAATTAAATGGCAGGATTCATTTAGAGAATAAACTATTTTGCTTAACTGAACAGTTGATCGACCGAAAATACAAGAAAAGGAAAAAGGAGACAAACGAGGTACTACAACGAATAAGACAACAATTTAGAGATGTAAAATATTTTCAACAGAGCTAGGAGACACACTAGTGACACTGCCAGTTGTCAGAGCATGTGATTGCAATTTTAAAAGAGGCAAAGCATCTATCTGGTGGCTGCGCACCCTGGCCATACAGACCATCAGGTATCCAGTAAGCCTACCACACGTGTGAAAGCACCCTCCTGAAATGGGCCATAAATACTACCTAGAGATCCACGAACAGGTATAGGCGGAAAAAAAAGGTTGGATGAGGGCACGGGAGTGGAAGTAGAAGCACAAGGGCATCTCTATTAGCTTTTCAGAAAATTGCCTAGGTTGGAAAGAACCTTTAAGACCATCAGGTCCAAAATAAACCTCTTAGTGACTGCCATTTATTGCACTTCATTTTGTACACCTAAACTATTCTAGAGTGCACAAATTTCATTCCACTCAGATTGAACCAAGTCAGAGAATATGTGCTCAGAGAGAGCATCTAACCCGCTCAGAATTACGAAATTGTGTTTGACCTGTGGGAACAGACTACAGCTAATCCAAAGTCAAACCTCATGCAGACACTCACATGCCCTGTGAATTCAGTCGTGCTTGCTAAAGCAAATACAGTCGATGCTTACTGCAACCAAACCAGTGGAACTGATCCCAAAATAATTATGATGAAAGGTGATGCCTTTCAGTGGCTTCCCCCCTCCCTATTTTAACTTCTTGAACTGACTCCTCCAAGTGTAACAGAGTGCCAGCAAATTCAAAGGAAACACCAGGCCCGTCAGGAGTAAGAGCAACTGAGTATCTGATTAGCTTAGCTGTGATACTGTTCCATGCTTTAAGCCTGAAGATGAAACCAGCATTTTTGCTTTTTTTCTCAGTCACATAAGACATTTCACCATATTGGACAAGTTCATTGCAAAATGCTTTGCTCACAGTTTGGAGTTCCATTTGTCCCGTCTTTGAGAGACACCTCAGACTGGGAAGCAGTACCTTATAATGGATTTTTTTAGTATTTTTATGGAAAGAGCGTACGATAAAAATTCTTTTTTTTTTGCAAAATATGAAGTAAAATCTAAGAGATTTACATTTCAGAAGTAATTCAAAATGAGGAATAAATAATTTCAAAATGAGGAAATACATTTTCGTAAATTGTTTCTAGGTACAAACAAAATACCTTTCAGCAGCTTTCTCAATGATATAAAGACCCTTGTCAAAACTTCACAAACACTTGAGTTTTAAATTCAGACTTTGTAATGCAAAATAGATTTGCATACAGGAAATGGTGTGGACGTATGTGTCTATTTTACTCACACTTACAAAGCTACAAAATGATGAAATTTTTTTAATTAGAGCCTTTCAGTTGACTGAAAGGCAGACAGCAGGAGTCATGTTCTTTTTTCACTCTTCCGAGCAGTAACAAAACTATCTATTAGAGGAACAGATGCAGATGCCACAGATGTATTTTTACCACAGTCATTTCCATCTCCACACAAGACACTTTTGGGACACCTATGGTGAAGTTATAATGAATTATTAAGTGCCTCTCGCATTTGAAAGGAATAAAAGGGGCAAAAAACACGCTCAGAAAGAACTCCAATACCAGAAGTCCAAATCCTTAGATCCCTGAAGGCTTATTATGTACATGCCTAACTCTCCATGTAATTCCATGGAATTCAGCAAGCTGACACACATACAAATACGCAAGTCTTTGAGGACTAGGATCTTCTTCAGAAGAGGATTCTGTAATATTTTTACAAGAAATCAATGCTTTTTTAAATCCCAATGCTGTAAACAATCTTAAACAGATTTATTTTATTGCTTTCCTTCATTTCTTCTGCTTTAATCTTTATGTCAGCACCTTCTCTTCTGGTTTTCCTAGTACAGTTTCAAGATTATCCAACACATTTTGCATTAACTAACATTATATATATATGAAAAAACTTCAAACCACTGATGTTTATCTAGAACATGGATTTCAATTTTACATTCCAATAACGATGTTGGATGTCCATCATTTAATAATAAATATAATACTACATATTTACTGTACAAGTATAATTTCATTTCAGTTTTTACAAGATTCTCATCAGTTTTATAACTGAACTTAAATTCCCATATTCAGTCACCTCTCAAAGAGGCAGTGACCTAGGACTATACCTAAGCACAAACCAATACTTGGTCACTTTCTGCCCCAATCAGGTTATTGCCTGCATCGTACCTACCTGTTTTCACGCTCATACATCTCTTTTGAAGTGCTTCTTAGTTGCTCAATTTCCTGATTTGTTTTCCACCTTATTTGTTCCAACTCTTCATGCAGCCTCTTTTCATATTCTGTTTTATAGTGGTCTCTGTAAATAAACAAATACACAACATGGGTATTTAAAAGTAATTGCACTGGCCAAAAGTATCAAAACTTCCCATACAGCTGTAACAAGAACAGTAGAGCACTTCTTGATATTACTTTTTTATTTTAATCCTTACTTATTTCTTCCCAAATTGCCTGAAATGCGTATTAGCCTATGTCGTTATGCAAACCAAGTGAAAAGCAATCAGGAATAAATATTTAATTGGAAACAAATAAAAGCTTTCCGCATAGTGTTTAATTTTTTTAAAAAGTAATTTGACATTGATTAATTGTACAACATTATGCTTAACATTCATCCACTCTACAGGAGTGCTTATATTAATTAACCACTTAAAAAGCCCTAAAAATTAATTCCTTGCTTTCCAAAGTTTTCTAGCTGCATCATCACAGTGTAAGGGTTGATTAACTTGGTAACTTACAGTAATGCCACACTACTACAAGATATTATTTGCACCTCATATCCTATAAAGATTTTGTCCGACAAAACTAGAAAAAAATCCGAAAAGCTTATACTGTAAGTACTTAACAGTTAAGGAATGTTAAAATTTTACAGCATCTAGTTGATGTTCAAGAATAAACAATCAGCAGTGAAACAACTGGTAGAAATTACAGGTTTGGAAATAAAAATGAGTTTATGAAGAAATGTGCATTTGCAACCGTAAAAAGGTTTCTGTTCTCCAGTTGTGTGACAGTCCATAATTTTAGAAATCAGTACTTGAGCTGGCCAAAAGCTCCTACATATTAACTAAGAGCTCAAAAATGTTTAAATGGCAGAATTCTTACTGTCCAGGTTTCCCCATTTTCTTTTTATTGAGACACTGTGAATTTCAGCTAACCCTTCAAAGTGAAAGTAAATGTATGGTCTCTCCTTCCTCAGTTGTGCCACACTACAGCAAAACATTTTATGAAGAAGTTTACATAAAACCCCCCCAAAAACATGAAACCCACTGGTTCTGGATATGAATGTAAGGTCCCCATCAGAAACTTCTGTGTTCTTTATGTGTTACATGGCTCAATACGTATTTAAAAAAATGCTGAAGATCAGAACCTCAAGATACAATTCTTACGTGCAGATTCAACAAGCATTACCATCTTCTTGGTATATAGAAAAATTGCTATTACCATTACTACTTGCCAAAAAAATATTTCTGTCGTTGCAGAAATTACACCTCCCCTCCCATAGTAAGATTGCTAAAAGTCAGGAAGGTTCACTGAAAAAATCAGAAGAATCTGGAAAAGTCTTGAACACCCACAGTGATGTCACCAGGAGACAGTTCAAAGTGACACTTATCTTTATGACTAAAACCAAACAAAAGGTATAGTAAAGGGCATATTCCAAGTATATATACTTCAAATACTTCTGCTTTTAACAAAGATCATTTGAGGCAGGTAAGATATGAAACATATGCACTTTAAAGAGTTTTTCTATTTTGTAATTAATCAGTTACCTCCATAAATTTCTAAATATACTTAAGAGAATAGTTGTCATAAATTCTCAGTGCTGTCATCCTCACTGCTATGGGTCTTATATCAAAGGTTTTAATGTGTATCAGGAAATTTTCTTTAAGACAAATGTTCTGTTTCTAGTTACATAAATATGGACTACCTTTCTGAAAGTTAAAACTATTTTTAATTAAACAGGATTTGTGCAAGAAACAATGGGGAAATAGTTTAACTTGTCTACTGATAGATGTGAATATACAGTATCTTACCTGGATGCAACATATTTTTCATACATTTCTTCCCTAGCTTTTTTGGCATCCTCTAGCTGAACCTGAAGTCTTTCAAGACGATCTTCTTCATGTGCACAGCGAACACTAAGCTCCATGTTCTGGCGATTAAGATAATCTTTATCTTTTTGCAACAAGTTGAGGGATTGTTGTGTGGTTGCCAGCTATAAAAGACATTAAAAAGAACATTTTAACATGTACTTTGAGATAAGTATTTAATCTGTGTATACATATTTGCGATTTCATTTTAACTCTCTTCTATGAAACTATCTGAACCAAAAAACTCTATTTACACTTACCTTTAATGTAAGTTGCTGAAGCTTTATGCTGAAAAAAGACTTCAATAAAATTATTTTATGAGGTTTTATGATTTATTTCTTGTAGTTGGTACTTGAAGAAGAGGTAAGAGGTCCCTTCATCTCAGCACCTAAAGAGTACTTAAGCACTGAATAGCAACAGTACTGAATAGTACTATGTCAGAAATACTGATGTGTTTTGGTGCCAATCTGTGATCGTACTGGCTGGCTGCAACATTCTCAGAAACAGAAGTTAAGAGAGTAAAGGCACCAGAGTGATTATTGCTCCATAAATAAATGGTAAAACTGCTTGTTCTGGAGCTGAAGTAGATCATGATTGCTGTGGACAACGTAACGTTTCAGTCCAGCACCAAGGGCAAATCGGGTTCTGCATGTCTTGTTTCGACTTTCATTTAGCATGGTGTTGCTACAGAAGGCTGAACCGATGCCAAAGTAGAAAGACAAGTAATTTGTGAGTCCGGGCAACAGCCTTCCCAACTACCAGATCAGTCACCTTTACTACTCCAAGAAGGAAGTGGTGTGACAGGTCTCCCTCTGTTTGAGGGGAACACTGTCAGAGAACAGCCACAGAGCACAACAGCACTGGCGTGGAGTGACACTTGGAAGTGCATAGTGACAGGACAAGAGGCAAGAGAATAAAACTGCAGCAACTCTGATTAGATTTTACAAAAACTTTGTCTCAAAGAAGGTGAATGAACACTGAAACAGTTTGTCCAGAAAGGCTGTGGATTCTCCATTCCTGGAGATACTCAAAACTTGACAAAGTCCTAAGCAACCCAACCTAAGCTGACTCTGCACTGCACGGGAGGGTTGGAGCAGCTGGTCTCCGGAGGAACATTCTAATCTGAGCTATCCCATAATCCTACAGGTGATCCTGACAGACTTGATTAGATAAAGAATCAAATTCCCAAGGTGAAGAAACAGACAATTACTGAAATAAGAACTCTACATTTACCTCTTTCGATAAGTCATTTCTTTCTTTAGCTTGTGCTTTGTGTGACACCTCTAATATTTCATATTTTCTTCTGAGTTCTGACAATTCATGTTCAAATACATCACGTTCACTGATAAAATGAAGTGAAATTATTAGATGCAAGAAGTGTAATGAACAAGATTCCTGTGCATTTGTAATTTCTCAGCCCTTTCCATTCACGACACCGAGTTCTTCCAACCAGTCATTCATAAAACAATTACTGACAACACTTGCAATAGTATTTTATGAGTTCTCTTAATTTCTAAGTATTTAAAAAAAATCCTATATTAAAATACAATAATCCTGAATTCCCATGCTGATTTATTTCTTCCTCTGATTATTTTTCTTGAGTGTTAACTTTGGGCTATATATGTTTCCTCTTAGCAATGGACTCTAAGTACCCTTGTCCATGCTTTTAGCTTTATCAAGCTTTTTATGCTACTTCCCATGACATTCTCTTGAACCTTCTGCAGATATTGAAGAAGTAGTAAAGCAACTTCATTCCCATCTTCCTAATCAAGTAGGAAGCAATGTATACTTCTCAGTTGCTACTCTCCCTTGCATACAGTTCCTTGATACCAGACAGGGTTGTACTACTCTTCTCATCTTTAAAATACACATAACACAGCTGCAGTAACTATGTTGGTGTCCTGAATAAGAGTGCTTTCCATATGCACAAAGAAGCAGCTCTCTGTCTCCACTCTATCTGACCCTGTCAGAACGGCAAAATAAATGAGCCAGTATGAGCTTGCAATTTGGAAAAAAAAGTTAGCCAGTTTTATATTAAGCATAGCATAGCTTTAAAACTGAGATAACTTGTAGTACACCAGAAGTGGAAGCTTTGACATAGCATTTTTAAAGGCAGAAACAAGCCTGGAAGTGATTAACTCCTGCCATGCTTCCAAATATCCTCATGCAGTCATATTAACAGTGCTCACCCCTCCCCTTCATCTGGGCCTACTCAGATGAATACAACTTAGTCTCTCAAATGCAGTTTTGGCACGTTCATTCACGCCTTTTTCAACTCGAGACTATTTTAAACGTACCCCACTAAACACTGGGGCCATTCACTGGAATGTTATTACAATCCTCTTATTAAGATGCAGTTGCACATGGGAAGCAAACCATAACATCAATCCATCCTATTTGCAACAAGCTTCCAGGTAGATTCCAAGGTTGTTTTAGTACATATAGCTCTGACCAGTTACCCGAAAGACAGACCCTCCTTCAAACGACTTAGTGGCAAAGTCATTTGTGTCAGTAACCGTGCCTGAGTTCATTCAGTATGAAGACTAAGGAGCTGACAGGGTGTTTTCTATTCACAATCCTCATTTTTTAATCCATTCCCCAACAAATGTGTCAAAGGCTGGATTTCCTGTACTTGCAAACACACTGAAAAAGGTATTTGAGAGCAAGACTGTGAAGTATATGTCTATGAGTGTATTAATAAGTCCATTTTCATTATTTTGCAATTGTTGTTTACAAGTTTGGCATTCAAAGCATAGGCTGGATATGTAAAATCTGCTATAAGTGTAAAATCTGTATTTTAAAAACAGAGACACTAGAATTTCCCACAGTGAAACCAATGCACCACGGTAATCACAAGAATCTCTGACAAAGAGTTCCCAAAACAGCCCTTTCAAACTTACAGTTAGGAGGATATCTTAAGTTGTAAATACTAACTCCCAAGGTCCTAGCCTCTTAATCCACTGTGTAGGCACCACACAGTAGAGCACAGGGCCTTTTGCCCGATCACTGCTTTTAAACTAGAAAAAAGAGTCCTTGTCCTAAGGTGCTTGGGATTAACAGATCCCACTTCTTCAGTTACAATGAGACTGGTAGGCTCTTCTGAAAACAGAGAAAATGACTAAATATAAACTTTTTTGTTTATCAGATTTCAAAATGTTGTTCATTTCAAAACTGCAATGTACTATAGGACATAACTGAACCATTACTGAAGTGAGGAGAAATATCTGTAGTGTGCAAAAACCAAAAATCAACTGAAAAACTCTAGTCAATGAAGGTTAAAATTTAACATTTATATGTTAGTAGAAAACTTGAATTAGAGAGATACCTACCATTTCACTTTATCATAGTTCTCTTGTCTGTAATTACCTCGCTGGATCATCTGCCTGGTATCAGCCAGTTCCAGTGTTAAACGCTGGCATCTAACCTCAAGCTCTGACCGATTCCTCCTCTCATCTTCATAGCTCTAGAAGGTAAGACATTTTCAAATGATCACAGTCCACTGATATTTACTTAAAAGCAATCACCAGCTAGGTTTTGTGAAGACCTCTTACGGATATTCAAGCGAGAATATTTCCATTTGTCTCAGTATTTAGAAACCTTGCACACATCACAAAGTAACCAGCTACACTCATACTCAACTTATTTTTATCTTATTTGAAATAGTTGATTAACATACCTATTGTAACTTCATGAAGTTCAATAAGGACAAGTGTAGAGTCCTGCATCTGGGGAAGAATAACACCAGGCACCAGGACAGATTAGAGGACGTCCTGCTGGAAAGCAGCCCCGTGGAGAAAGACCTTGGGGTCTTAGTGGACAGCAAGTTGCCATGGGACAGCAACGTGCCCTTGTGGCCAAGAGGGCCAATGGGATCCTGGGGTGCATTAAGAAAAGTGTGTCCAGCAGGTCTAGGGAGGTTCTCCTCCCCCTCTACTCTGCCCTGCTGAGACTACACCTGGAGTACTTTGTCCAGTTTTGGGCTCCCCAATTCAAGAGGGACAGGGACCTACTGGAGAGAGTCCAACGGAGAGCTACGAGGATGATGAAGGGACTTGAACATCTCTCCTGTGAAGAGAGACTGAGAGAACTGGAGCTGTTTAGTCCTGAAAGGAGAAGGCTGAGAGGGGATCTTATTAATGTATAGAAATATCTGAGGAGTGGAGGTCAAGAGGAAGGTGCCAGTCTCTTCACAGGGGTGCCCAGTAATAGGACAAGGAATAATGGGTGTAAGCTAGAACATAGCAAGTTCCACCTCAACATGAGGAGAAATTTCTTTACTGTGAGGGTGATGGAGTCTCCTTCTCTATAGATTTTCAAAACCCACCTGGATGTGTTCCTGTGTGGCTGCCCTATGGGATCCTGCTCTGGCAGGGGGGTTGGACTAGATGATCTCTGGAGGACCCTTCCAACCCCTGACACGCTATGATTCTTTCTAACGCATCTGGCCATTAGCACAACCTCAAAGACTAGTAATGCTCATATAGATGGTCAGTGGTCTACAAATCTATAACAGGAACACATTAGTCACATCCCTTTTACAACATTTTCAAACTGGTTTCCTTGTGAAGATACTTGCTAGTCCATTTGAAACAGGAATGGCCATTCAGAATGTTTGGCAACTTCTGTCATTACATAAAAAAATTCAGCCAGTTACTCCCAAATTGTAACTTCTGTTTGCTGAAGCATATCATCCAAAGCTTTGGTGGAGGAAGTTTAAAAAAAAAAAAAAGAAAGAAAAAAAAAAGGGGTGCTTCTTTAATGGTCCATGAGTACTAATTTCCATTTTTTCCTTCTTTCTCCTCCTCATATAATTTGAGGGACTACTACAGGAACTAGAAAAAAGGTGACCAAAGCAAGCGAACACACAGATAGCATTTGTCTTTTAAAACACTGGTTATTCCTTTTGAAGATAAACAAATTTCCTAACCATCCTCATCCTTCCCACCCATCATGGGAACAGCAGACTTTTGTACCCTAATCTCCAACCTAGACTTCATTTCTCAGATTTTCTGATAAGTAGGTATTTAATTTCACAAATTTACCTTACTTACTTGACCTAAATTTTGTACTACTTACTAATTTCTTCACAAAAACAACAACAAAATAATGCTTACCCACCTGTGCTATGAAAAACTGATGTATGGCAAAAATAGTAACTCCATCTGGTTACACTGAATGGACATGACAATATTATTCACTGAAGGTGAACACATAACTAAATGAAAGCCTTAAGATGTGATTACTGAACTATTTACCCACTGCACGTTAAATTTATTTTGCAGTGATGAGCATTGTAGGAGCACATAATTTTTCAAAATAAACTAAAAGCCATGCTTTATACAGTTATAAGAGAAGACAGTAATTGTGTCTATCTCATTTCTAATAGACAATAGAAGTTTAGGACAACAGCACATAAGAGTGGATGATTCCTAAATACAGCTTCCTAGGAGGAAGGAACACAAAGATACTGCTTTAGGATAGAGACGGAAAGACACAGACAACACTGATGAAATTCACAGGCATCATAAAGTGAAAAACTGACAGAATCCCTTCTTGAAAAAGCACACCTAAATATTTTAAGATGCTACAGAAAAGCTCCCTGAACTACTAAACATACTGTAACTATTCTGTTGATAAATAAGTAATTTTTGGTTTATATTTCACAAATTAGTAAATTTCACTGTCATTAAAATCACATTAGATCACAATCACAAAACCACAATACTGAGAAAGTTTGCATGAGGATTTTGGATGGTATATCATTAAGAACATATACTCTAAAGACACAATTGTTATTCATCCTAACATACTGGTATATATGGCTTATTTTTATGTTTACTCCAACTAATGGATATACATTAAGCAAATGAGCACTTTCTTTTTAAACCAGTTAAAATGCCACCATTTATAAAGATGGCACCACCACAACAGTAAAGCCTCTGACAGATGTTTCTAAAGGTGTTGCCTATAAGTTAGCTAGAGTTTCAAATACGTAACACACAGGTGCAAGTATCCTGTTATACAGTGCAAACATGACTCATCTTGCAATAGGAAATGGTGGTAAGAGCACCTCACTTTTAAGTGCAAATTGCAAGATTAAGTTTGGATACAATTCCTCTGTGACTATTCTGTGCCATTCTGCTGCTAATACCATGCTGGAATGTATACGCCCTTCACAGAGTGGGCTATTGAAGTTCCTACAGGGTTACACATTCAGTAGCTAGAAGACAACTCCCAATAGTATAAAATTAAATTGGTTAACCTCTGGACAAATTTGTCATTAACAGCTCTAAAGCACTAAATAACAGAGCAGTTAAATATCTACCAAATTAGTTCTTTTCTAATACCTGAGACCTAAAGTAGTTTTTGAGTGTTATTTAACAAATTGGTTTTTAATGTCATGCAACAATATGGTAAAACTCCAGGGAAAGGGAGGGAAGTTAAATTCTACTTCTAAAATTGATACTAAGACATACCTACAGCATCAAACTGTTAAACAGGTAATTAAAGGGGTTTGCTTTGTTTTGGAAATATTTACTACAATTCTGAAAGAAATACTAATCCTACTGCATATGTCATTTTTTCAGCTACGGAATCTTTTAGGTGCCAAAGTTGTACCTTAATCAAAGGAAGAAATGTGACAAGTCAAGCTAATAAATGGTCTACAGGCTGACACACAACCCCCCCCATATGGTACGCATATCTCCAGATGAGCCTCTTAACTTAGCAATATATCTTTATAGCAATACATCTTTAAAGACACACAATCAAGCTGCCTGTGCTTAGGAAGAATAAGCCTTGCTTTTGCATGGGATGAAGTTAATTTAGTTTACAACAATGTCTGCATGCCCTGAGTTGATTTTAAGATCTCTGCAATGGAACAGCTTTATCTTTCAATTTATCTTTAAGAGATAGCTTGGAAGTCTCGATGAACAGCTTTGTCCTGTTGAAGCAAAAACGGGGCTTTTAAAAGGATCAAGATACAGAGCACTTTCAAGGACATGACTGAAGTCCTAGAAGTAACACCAAAAAATAAAAATAAAGTAAGCCCACAAACCTTAAAAACATTGAAGGACAAACAATACCTCATACAAAACGTGACTGCGATGATCCTGCCAACAAATCACACGTGGCTTTTCCTCAGCTTCTTACTAATTTTGCTACTGCAGAGAGTAGCAACTCAGACAGATGAGGTGGTTAAAAAAACAATTCCATCCTGTGCAAACGGGTAGGCAAACATTGCCTAAAGGAATTCTTAACAGAGCCGTCCAAGAGACCCAGTATTAACCAGTACAGGTGGTTTCTACAGAGCATGTGAAGCAGTCCCTACCAAGAACTTTAGTTTAGTTTACAAACACTGTCAACAGATGTATATTTCAAACAAAAAGATTCTGAACCTCCCTGATCTGCACCACTTAAAACCCAAACTGGTAGAGAAACTAAAGATCTAATGACAGACCTTAGTTTATGACATTAAGCTTCACTCGTTTTGGACTGGATGATCTCTAGAGGTCCCTTCCAACTCTGACGATTCCGTGTGATTCTGTAATCCTCCACCTGGAACTAACAGCAGCTTACAGCAGTCACCAAAATGAACACCTATCTAAATTTCAATTACAAAAACCAGGCAACATGCTTTTTAAACAAAGCTGGTGTCACATAATACGTACTAGGAATTAGGTGATCTTTCAAAAAGCCTTTGTGGATAAGGAGATAACCAAGAGAAATGCGAGGAAAAGATTAAACCACCCAATCAAGCAGAAGTAGCATGACTTCTTTACACTGCCTACAGATAAGCCTGTGGAAAGAAGTGATCTTGCTTTTGAAAAGCTTATAAATACGAACTTCATCTCTGAAGGATGAATTATACAAGCCAGCACTTTCAGTTCATACTCTAAGGTACCTGAAGGCCTTAGGCAAATGCAAAGCTACTATAATGTTGCAATGTGAAAACCAATTCCTTCAAGTTATTTGGAAGTAGTGCTGCTACTTAGTAAAGACGATGTTTTCCTTCAATCTCTTTACATAGCGTACATTCAAAAATTACTGGTCAATACATTATTCATTTGAATACAACTGCCCAAATGTCAGGAAGAAGTTATACATAACTGTAAGACACCTCTTCTGGTATGTTGATATCAAGTTGTTAGTCTGCCAAGGACTGCAGATAAGGCACTATCTGCCACTAAAAGTTGTAAACAAAAACGCTGAGCTACTTCCAAAACAGGGACGCTCTGTAGGAAAGGTAAGAAAGAAAAGCTTTGGCATAAGCATCTCTATTGCAAAAGAAAGTGGGGTGAATAAAAGGCTCTGTCTTCTCTGGATCTAAGCTGACTAGAATCTTCAGTGAAATACTCTCTCATGAAAAGGATCCTTGAGATCATTGTATTAGAGATTAGAATTAAGTCATTTGGTACTTCTGAACAACTAGCAGTCTGTATGAGCCACAGCTATACCTCAAAAGAGGTAGAAAGACATTGGATAGCAAAGGAAACTTTCACAAATACCTAAGTTTTATTGAGTCTTGGAAATGTTAAACTGCTGTCCCAAGCTAATAGTTATTGGTAGAACATTTTTCTTTGCAGTTTTTTCCAGAACAAGATAAATGTTAACAGTAACAAAGGGAAGAAGGGTCCATCTCACCTAAGTGTGAGGCCTCATCTGTCTTTTTTAGAGACATAAAGACCAAGTAAACATAGCACTGCTAAGCAGAATTGATGTCAGGGGTCTGGGAAAGGGTTCTAGAGTAGGGTCTTTAATCATAGACTTGAAAACTTCAGAAGAAATAGTAGGGAATGCAGTTCTTCTGGAGTAGCAGCAGCAGCCTCAATTTTACAACATTCAGATACTTCTAGTGCCAACAGATCCTTGGAGTGCAACAGCTTAGTTCATTCTCTGACAACTATAGAAACGTTTTTCCTCCAGCTGGGAAACATTATCGCAGAGAAAATTGTTAGGTATGTATAGCAAAACCTGACAGCTACTAATCCTGATTCAGAGATGAGGTCTTAGAAGAGATCTTTGTCCTATACACATCCAGCGTTGTCTTTAGACTAACCACAGTTTTTAGATAACTGTCATACTATAAATTTGATTGCAAGTCCTCAAGGCAACTTTACAGAAAATATAACTAACGAAAGGAAGTCCTGATAAAACCGTATCAAGACTGAATTCCAGGAAAATACTCACTGCCAAGAAGAAGCCAGAAGAAGAAAGCAATACCTAATCTTCTAGAGCTACAAAAAAAAGCAGAATTTCCTTCTCAGACTCTCCCTCAGCCCTGAGAGAAACATGCAAGTAGTAAATTACATCTGTTTGAGGGAAGGTTCTAACCACTTTGGAAGAAAACAACTCTGAAAATAGTACACAGGAACACACACATCAAAGCTGGTTTTGTTTCTGGAAAGCTCCTGGTAGTACAACACTTATAGCTGAACTTCCTTCTCTATTTGAACCTGGTGGTGGTGCCAACATTATCTGTACTTGAAGTAGTGAGCACTGTAAAAGGAGGACTGAAACGAGTCTGTACTATACATTCGGCAGCAGATCGGGCAGCTCTACAAGAGCATCGCTTTCACAAGTTCCGCTGTCTCCCCCCAGCCTGGTGCTGCTGCAACTAGAATTGGAGGAACCACACTGGTGTAAATCACAAATGGAACAATTGTGTACAGAGAGCCATTATTTTAGTGGTAGCACTGCAAACCCACTTACATTGACCACTTTTAAATCAGAAACCAGTGACAAAGATCTTTTGACATGAGCTGTGTTCAGCAGATTATGTTCCAGTGCTAGAAATCAGTCTTCACACGCTGCTCTCTGCTACCAGTTGTCAGAAACCAGCTTCCCACCCTACTGGGTCTGTGCTACAGATCCAGCAGGCTTTGATTAAGTGCTAACTCAGAGCAGCAAGAAACACTCAACAAGAGAACTTTGTTACAAAGTTGTAGAGTTTTAGGGTCTTACTCCTCAGCATAACAAGAATTAAAACAAGTGCTAACAGAGGCTGACACACACTTAGGACCTTCTGCCCCTTCTGAACAACCAAAATACAGTTTCTATACCGAGAGTGAAAATATAGGTGACATGCCCTCAAGTCAGAAACAAGAGTTTTCCAAATTCAAATTAATTAATGAACTGCCTAGACATAAAGAACATGTGGATTTGTCAAGTCTTACAAAGTTAGTTCCTACAAAGTTACAATGATGATTCAGTTTTTGCAGAACTAAGCTTCCTAGCTAGTGCAGCTAGATGCTTATAAACTCAGTCGGCTGAGAAGCTGCAATAGCATGCTGGGTTCACTTTTGTGCAAGCCTAGGTCCAATGTGACGACGACTTCTGTTCAGGTTTTTGTTTGGTGGGGTTTCACCCCCACCTCCCCAAAAAATAAAAAGGTTTAGTGCGTTTGAAGACCTGATACTCAGTCATATTGGCTCACTGTAACAGTATTCAGAGAACAGAACCGTGCTGCTTTGCTTTCTCACAAAACAGTATATAAAGCCTCATCAGCAGAGAGCGAACAAAATAAACTACATGTCTTACATTCACACTCCAAAACAAAACCAGTAAAATTAAAGCTCATTTCCTTTGACCAAATTAAAGGACTACAGCCATCCTGACACAAAATAATATAGCTGATGTTAAGCAATGGTTGTCTTATAATTCATTTCACATTTAAATTTTCCTAGAGTTGGCTTAACATATTAGAGAAGTTTGAATTTTGAATTCTTTGTTGGCCAGACAGACTTTCCTATGAGTCTGTATCTAATTCTCTCATATTTCTCATTACTTTATTTCTGGGTGAACATCTACACGTACAAAACTTACTCAAACCTAATGTGTCAGCCACAAACAACCAGTAAAGCCAGCAAAATCCTCCTCTCCCAAATCATTAGTAGTTAACAGAAAGATTTGGGCTAATCATATATTTTAGTTCTTTTCCGTGTTCCACACAGAGGAAAAAGACACATTGAAAGTCCTTAGGAAGAGCCTTAATTATCTGCAATAGTAGAAAAAAGGAATGCTTATTGTAGGAAATGGCTTGTTATCACAGAGAATAATTAAAAAAAAAGATTGCCTTAACTTCACTGATGACTATTTCACATGTCTGTATTAGTAGTTTCCTAAAAAGAGTTTTAAACCCAGAACCGAGCCTTTGTTGACAGACTACATAGAAAATAGAAATATTGCAACTGTTGGAGAAAACGTAAAAATTAAGGTATACTGGCTGGGAAACTAGAGGATGCATTTGAGAATGTAACAGGCAAGACACTTCAGCAAGTATGGAAATAAAGAATGATTGGAATACAACAAAAAACAGTAAAAGAAGAATATAAGAGCTTAAGTAAGACTCTGAATGAAACCGTACTTTATTTCCTGTTGATAAATTCTCTTGCAACATAGCTTGACATTATCAAATGAGCTCAAAGAAATGAGTTACCCCAACAGTACACCTTGCAAGCACTTCTTCATAAACTGTAAGAGGTGCACAGGTATGTTAGCTTTAGTGTACTGAGGACAAGTGAGATTCTAAAGTACCCTCACGTATTGACGATGCTCCTCTTAATTAACCATCTCAAGCAGCCCGAGGTACCCTGTCACAGTGACACTCATCAAGTCACTAGAGGTCTGATCTGAGCTTGCCAGAAGCAAAATACAGAGACTCTTCAGTCTCTCCATACATAAAATAACTCCTATCAGGTCACATTTCATTAAATATCCAAAACACACCATCTCTATGCATAACAGATACGGTGAAGACATGGGTTTGATTTTTTTTTTTTTGTACATATGGAAGTACTGTATTAAGTGATCTTATCTGAAATCTGAGAATCCTACGTAATAATTTTTAATTACAACTGTAAGCCTTTTTTTCTTATGATATTTCAACATCTGGATCTCTTCCCTAATTATTTTTTAAACCAGGTATTAATCCTCACTAATTGTCTCCCATTTTAAGCATGATTATGCAAACAGGGTACAAGCATTCAAAGAACCACCTCACTGTAACACACGCAACTTTCCAGTGCTTTCAACATCAAAAGAAAAGCGTAACAAATGTCAAACTTTGAAAAATATATCAGTGGGAAAGGTGGATACTGCCACCATGTGGTATAAAAAGAACAATATTAGACAGTTTTATATCAAAGGTCAATATACCAAAAACAAACCTTTCTAGTAAAACTTTAATTATTGTTATCTACTATTCCACTAAATTGCTGCACCAAAAATTACGTCAGTCAAATCTCAGAAGACTCAAATCCTCCTATAGAATTTTACTAAATCAGAGTACTTTAAATGTACAATGAAGAAAAACGCTCACATAAATCAAAGTTAACAGGATTAATTTAATCTTAATTATGACCAAAGATGATGACACAAAATACTGCTGAAACATATAAATGCATAAATTGTATTGATCACCTTTTCTAATTCAATTAAAAAGAGAAATGAAAATCTGAATTTCACAAAATAATTCTGTGTAATTAATATCCCTTTATACCTGATTACTCAGTAAGTAAATTTTGAGGGAAAAAAAAAGGTGGTAACTAAAGAATAATTTTAAATGTAGTAAAATGAAAGTGGCACTTAAGTCCCCACTAGCCACAACTTGGATAAATACTATAAACACCTGAAACTGACTTATCACAACCCCTGATTTATACAGAACTAAAATAAAAATCTTCCTAACTGCATACATAAGAATACTGTAAATGTCCATGAATATCTTAAAAACAATATTCACCTTATACTGCTTTACTCTTTGAAAATAAAAATTAAATATTTAGATAACTCGTTCCTCTACTTCATCTTTATACCTTACCTGAAATCAAATTATCTTGTTCTTTAGTATAGCAAAAAATAGGAAAAATCAAAATACAAGAAATTGAAAAGCATTAACAGAGGATTCAACTCCAAAGAATTCTTAAAAAATACATTTTTACACCATCAAAACAAAAGGTGAAGCAAAATTACTACCAAGACATAACCGTCTCAAAAACTATTACACTGAACCATTTACCGTGTCTTCAGCTACAACTGGACAGATCTCCTGCCTCAGCTTCCCCATCTTGAACCTTGCCCTCAAAGCACAACACAGCTGGTAAGATTCTAACCTGAACAGTCGCATGAGCAAATCTTGCAGGGTAGCCATAATGCACAATTAGTTGTTATGCAAGGACATATTCTGCATGTTTCCTCTTCCCCTCCCTCCCTGCCCTCTCCTTCTCCTAGTACACTGCAAAAAAAAGCTTTTACATCTTACATATAAATAATTATTTACAGAATGAGCTTTTCATTATATTTTTATATAGAGAGAGACACAGTTTCCTAATTAATTAAGGTGCACACACCTCTGTCAGACACTTCAGCTGGGATTTATACCCACTTAGTTCCTCTGTTAGGCTCTCCTTTTTCATCTGTAGATCACTTAGCTCTCTTCTTAAGGAACGGACTACTTCATAGAATCGGACCTAAAAGAATAAGATACACATTCAAATTCGAGACTAGCAAAACTGCAATCACAAAACCACAGTCTCAGATAGAAATCCACTCAACATTTTATGCCTATAATTCACCAGATGATTTCTAGTGCATACCAGGAATCTGGTTGGGGCTGTGGAGAGTAAATGTCAAAGCAAAGACAGCGCATTTCTTCAGGCTTTGACAGCAGTAGCTAAGAAATAATCAGTTTGTGTTTGGTCCTGAACAAAAAAGAGGAATAAAGGTAAAGATACACATTTCTGTTCAACTCAGGCAGCTGCTAGTCAGTCTGCTCAGTTAAAAAATACAGCTGTTAATGCACCACTTGTTCGCCCTTCTTGTGCCAACTCTAAGGCCTCCATGATCAACAGTGTAAAAAGACCAAAAAAAAAAAAAAATCTATTTAGCAATAAACTCACTTAACTTCCTAGCTTCCCACAAGCCAATATAACTTTTTATGGGGTGTGTAGAAACAGAGAGGGATTAGTTTTGTTTTCTGCCAGTTCAGCACGCTGAATCTGGACTAAGAAAAATGCAAGAGCAAGCTCAGGAAGCAGGAACACTGCACACAACCAGGAAAGAACTGTGACACCCCCCCACACACACACTTTCAGCAGTGACACTGCTGTATGTGTTCACCTGCATGATGCAAGTAAGACTCTGAAAGACTCGACTCTGCTAAATGAATGCCAAAAAAAGTCTTGTAAAAGGATTTAAAGAAAGAAAGAAAGAAAATATGTAACACATACTCCTCTCTTCACTCACTCAAGTAATAAGGCATAGTCTCAGACAAGTAATTCTCAGATCCATAAAGCTTTTCCAGGACATTTCTACTGGACAAGAAAAAATACTAGAAAACACAGTTGTAAAACTACAAAGTCAGTAGTAAAACAACCAAAAAAAAAAGAGATAAAACAAAGAAGAAAGAGCTTTTTTGATATACACCCACGCACACGTACACAGCGGTTATTACTCCCAGATTAACTTCATACCTTCAAATGTTTGTTTTGGGGGATGAAAAGAAAAGAATAGATAATTAAGCACTTTTTTCATGCAAAAGCTACTCCATAAGCCGTATCATTAACACTTTGTTTGATACATGATTAAAGAAGAAATACAAGCAAGAAAGCACAGATAAAGTAAGCATTTAAGAGCGAGCTTCGCTACACTTGATGCACAAGGAAGACAGGTCTCTCTTCTGCTACCTGTAAATAGCAGAAGACGCAGAAAAGTTCCAGGTATTTTCCGTATAACTGACAGCACACAGCTCTAAAATCACAGAAGCCATGGAAATCTGCCATATAAACACAGATGTAGCTCACTTTATACAATAAAGCAAGTGTGCAGCACAACTGGAAAATTAGTAGTAAGGCAAAAAAGTGAAGTTTTCTAAGAAGTGCTGGGGTTTTTAGGTTTTTAAGTTTTTCCAAATGCTGGGCTTGTTTAAAGTTGCAGTTGTTGAATTTGTTGTGCTCAACAAGAAAACTCCACTCTTCATCCTTACCTTTAGATGTAAAACAAACATAAGTTAAAATAGGAATTACGCTGTAAATTCAAAGTTACTTTTCACTGAGAAAAACGCAAGATTTCCCGAAATATAGTTGCTATTCAATTTTTTTTAAAGATGGTAACACGTGATTCTCAATCTGTTATGCCTAAGTTTACACATAAATTTTACAAAACTAAGGATGCTTTTTTAAACTACAATTCAATTAAACCTAAAATAGGTGTAGTAATTCTTTTGTTCATGTTCTGGAAATTCCAGATGACAAATTGAACCATCAGATGCTACAGTTAAACCATGAACTGTCTTTCTATCCTGAGAAGTGAACTAACTGCATATTATTACCTTATATTACTGCTTGATTACTATTTTTTCTCCTGCCATATTCTATTCTGTCAATATTTAAGGATTTTTTTTCAAGTCCATTTGTGAAATCCCACTGTTCCTAACAGGTTTGCATGAAATCAAACAGTGAAGTTAGATCTGTGGGTTCTTCCTAACTTCAGAACTACAACAGGCTTCAACTACTTCCTTTGGCAGAAATGAAATTAAATTTAGAAATGTGCAAGCAAAGCACTAAGTACAATTTTAGCCCTTAACTGCAGGTTCCACTGGCTACAGTTTTCGTCTATCTGGATTCTTTAAGAACTTGTCTGATTACACCTGAGACTGAGCAACTGAGTTTTCATCAAATCCTCTTTTTTCCAAAAAAAGTTATTACCATTTTTATTTTTTAAAATTAAAAAATAACCTTGATTGTCCCTAACTAGTGGGTTTTTTCAAAACGTACCCTAGCTTTTTCCTTTAGTTCTCGCTTGTTTATTGCCATTTCCCTATGAAACATAAGCTATGCCACATTGCCACATTAAATTCCCAGTCGACAACAACCTTAAAACAGATTACCACATTATCAAACCAAAATGACACGGGATACAGGTAGCAAAGATAAATATATCTGCACAGCCTCTTCAAGGAAAAAAAAAAATAATAAAAACCAATCTATGCTAATAAGAGTGATAATAAATGCAGCAGATAAGGGGAAGGTTGTAGCAAAAGTTCAGCTGTTACTTAGCCTGCTTGACAGTCAATGAACACTAATGTAACTCAGCAGTCAGAAACAAAAATTACTGTAATGGGATTTCAGAAAGAACTGCATGTCTTAAAAATTACAAATGTGCTGTAAGGAAAATGTTACCATTTTCTAGGCAATTTTAGAAAAAACCCTCAGCATGAGGCCACTGCTTTTTATGGAAAGCCAGAGTTAAGGTAAACCTGAGTGGGTGCAGAGGATGAGAAAGTCGGCTTCTGTTAAATGAAGTTATGTGAAAGTAGTGGCATTAGTCATCTGCTTTCTTCAACAAAGAACAACTGAGGTGTAGTTAGCAAAATGAGGCAACTTAAGTAGGTAGTAGTTAAAAACCAGATCACAGATGCCATTTTTAAACAACCTTGTGAAAATTTTTTACAGGAGAGTACACAAGAAGCTCACTTTACCAAACAAATGGATTCAGCTGTCAACTACCTGTAGCGTTTAAAAGTTTTGTACAGACTGTTTCTAAAAACCAATTCTTATAAACTATTGTTAAAAAAAAATCTAAATTTTTACATTTAAGTTCAAAACAAAAAAATGTGATTTTAAGAGAAATGCTTAAAATCTAAGTTTTCATTTGCCATCATCATTAATTTTGCTTAGTCTTTGCTCTAACATGTCACTATTGCACCCCTTTGTGGAAGCACAGTGAAACACATCTCACATTTGTTTTGATACTTAAATTTGCAATACTTTGATACTTAAAAATGCAGTATCTCTCTATATAAAATCTGTATTTAAGCACTTCTTGTCATTTGTCCAGAACACCAGATTTCAAATAAAGCTTAAGCATTACATATACAGTTACTTCATTCCTTTAGAATTTTAAAGGCAATATTTTATAATTGATAAATATTAAAAAAAAAAGTCTGGAAATTTCTTGCTCAAGCTTTTTCTAATCAAGAAGAATCACACCTTAATATCAGTAGATTATACTATTAGTCTGCACATGGGTCTGGAGCCAGAGATTTTATCTGCCTGCGAAAGGCACAATTCCTCTGTAGGTAAGTAAAGCACCCGAAAAATTACTTTTTCCTTTCAACATCCTTTTCCTAGCATTCAGAAGCAAAATGGGTGCATAGGCAGGGTATGAAGAACAGTTCTGTAGCATCCCAGCATTGGTATCAGCTGAATAACTCATAGTAACAATAAACAATCACTGAGCTTAACTGATGCTCTCAGGTTTGCACTGATCCTGTTGCCCAAAGAAGTTGAGAGAAGCAGCAGAAAATACCATGTTACTACAGTTTACCTTCAGAATGTCCTCTCATGAAAAAAAATAAGTATTAATTTGGCCAAAAAAAGGACTACTTCAAAAGAAAAAAACTGACCTAGGCGTAAAGAGAAAAGAGGCTTCACTGTACACAAAAGTAGTGGAGTTTGAGTTACAGCATTTAGAGATTGAACACAAGAAAAGAAAAGGCAGATTCTGGGTACAAGCTGGCGGTTACTTCTCCCTCTTCACACCTTTTTTAAAGTCCCTTTCCACTCACAAATACAAACTAAGCACTATAGTTGTGTTCTGACAGCTTCACTTAAAGCAGCTGTCAAGGTTATGAACTCCTGGTATCTGTCCTGCCCCACTACAGTCTTTGTACTGACTCCCAACAGGTCCATGTCCTTCTTGTGTTGAGGGCTCCACAGCTGGATGCAGTACTCCTGCTGAGGTCTCACCAGGGCAGAGCAGAGGGGCAGAATCATCTCTCTTGATCTGCTGGCCACGCTTCTTTTAGTGCAGGCCCAGGATGCAACTGGCCTTCTGGGCTGCAAGCATGCATTGGTGGCTCACGGCCAGCTCAGTTTGCGTAAAAAAAAAAAAAAATCCAAAAAAAAAAAGTCTGCTTTTTCAACCATGATGGGGCAGGAATTGACAAAAAATCCCAAATCATAACATCATTAAGACCATCAAGTCGAACTGTCAAGCCAGTACTACCATGACCACTAAATCATGTCTTAAAGTTCCACATATGCACACTTTCTGAACACCTCCAGGGATGGTGACTCCACCACTTCCCTGGGAAGCCTGTGCCAATACCTCACCACTCTTTCAGTAAACAAATTTTCCAAATATCTAATCGAAGCCTCCCCTGGCACAACTTAAGCCCATTTCCTCTTGTCCTATCACTTGTTACTTGGGAGAAGAGGCCACCATCCACCTCACTACAACCCCCTTTCAGGTAGTTGTAGAAAGCAGTAAGGTGTCCCCTCCACTCCCTCTTCTCCAGGCTGAACAACCCCAGTTCCCTCAGCCCCTGCTCATAAGGCATGCTTTCTGGACCTCTAACCAGCTTTGTTGCCCTGAACCTGCTCCAGCACCTCAACATCTTTCTTATACTGCAGCACCTAAAACTGAATGCGGTACTCATGCTACAGCCTCACAGTGGGCACGATCACTTCCCTACTCCTGCTAGAAACACTATTTTTTATACAGGCCAGGATGCCGTTGGCCTTTTTGGCCACGTGGGCACACTGCTGGCTCATGTTCAGCACCCCCTATGTCCTTTTCTGCTGGCCAGCTTTCCAGCCACTAATACTTCTATAGAGGGCAGCAGGTACAGCAGACAGCTGAAGGGTAATAATAACCCAATGGGCTCCAAGCTGTGTTCTTGTTTATGACTCAGAACCTTAAGATTTTCTAGTACTTTCTAAAGTCCAAGTTTGGGAACTTTTGAAAATATTTTCTCAAGGATATCCTTTAGATAAAAGTAACATGTTTTACTTCTCTGTACTTATCTAGAGGATACCATGCCTTTCACCCAGCGAGAGACTCATTCATGCAGCCCTTATATCTCAACAAATGCACTAAGCTTTTAAACATATTATTTACAGCTTCCTTAATAACTAGCTCTATAGATAAGTATAATGGTAATACTTCGGTGAATTAAGGTTTACACATCAAAATCCTCATCATTCTCAGAAGTGACCCAAGATGTTGTGGATATGTCCCACAGTCCATGAAAGCACAGTCTTTTTATTGCAAGCAGAGTACCCCCCCACCCCTTCATCTGCCCATAAGCCATAATTAACAAACCTCTTAAATCAAAAAAACGAGTCTTAAAGTACACTTTAAGGTACACTATCTCCTGTGTTTAGCCAGATAGGAAAGGGACAGATGGAAAGCATGAGGGAAAGCAAGAGGTGTGTGCAAGAGCCATCTGAACTTGTGGGTAAGCCAACTTTCCAATTTCTGATGGATTTCTCACAATCAATGTGCCCACTATTTAGCTGCAACACCTCATCTGCTTAACCTTCTTAAAATACATCAGTTCTACTCTCTTTAAGACATCAGAGTCTGGGATTAATAGGTTCTCTGCTTTACAGGAAAACGGATTGATCCAGAAGCACATTTGCCTCTGAATGTCCTTCATTTCTAGTTGGAATAAGAATTCTGTAAGTAAGAATAAGAATTCTGTAAGTATAGATTGGCTTCTACTACAAGCACATCCCTTTAATTGTAAACAAAAGCAATTTACAGCTTGTGGTGGGTTGATCTTGGCCAGCAGTCAAGTACCCATATGGCTGCTCACTCACTGTCTCCAACGGAAATAGGACAGAGAAGAGAGTGGGAAGAGCAAATGTAAGAGAACTCAGGTGTCAAGTTTTCTCAAGAGTCTAATTAATGAAGGAAAGAGAGGTGAATATTAACCAAAAAAAAAAAAAAAAACCAAGCACCACGCAAAGACAATCACTCACCACCTCCCACAAGCAGACCAATGCCCAGCCAGTCCCTGAGCAATAACCACCTTGGAAGCCAACTCCCCACCTCCTCTTTCTTCCTCTATCTCCAATTTATATTGCTGGTATGGAATACTCTTTTTGGCCAATTCAAGTCAGCTGTTCAGCTGTGTCCCCTCGCTGAGCTTGCCAGGGACAGGGGGAGACAGAACGGAGAAAAGAGTAAGCCTCAACGCTGTGCAAGCGCTGTTCAGCAACAGCTGGAACACTGGTGCATTACCAACATTGTTCTCGCCACAAATCCAAAGCACAGCGAGATTCAGGCTGCTATGAAAAAAAGTTAACTCCACCCTGGCCAGATCCAGGATATGGCTACATTTTAAACCAGTATAGACCATAATACTCACAGAAACATATTCAGGGATAGAAAGCTGATCTTCAGGAATAGACTTCAGCTTCTCATAGCAATCATCTGTTAATTCCAAGTCTCGAAAACTATGACGGATATCTCCAGCCCTCTCCCTTAACTGATGATTCGTTTCCTCCAGTTGCTTCTGTCTCAGTAAAATAGTTTCCATTTCTTGTTTCATTAGAGCCTGTTTTTTTCTTCAAGATTGATTTGAAAACAGAAGACATTAAGTAGCAATTAACACAAGCGACAAACTCTCACAACACCCTGGCAAGGGAGTAAGTTACACTCATTTTGTAGAGGGAAAAATTTGCAGACAGGTGGATACCACCATGGTTACCATGGCTGGATGCGTTCCTGTGTCGCCTGCTCTAGGTGATCCTGCTTTGGCAGGAGGGCTTGGACTAGATGATCTTTTGAGGTCCCTTCCACCCCTGACATTCTGTGATTGTGTGATATCAGACACAGTATATATAAAACCCCAAGAATTGCCTAGCCATTGACATTACAAAGCTGAATCCAAGAAGTGACAATTAATCTCGACATATGCTGACTTGAATTTATAGATGAGTCTTAATTTACCAATTAAGAGGTTAAAAATGTGAAAAAGCAGAATATATTTCCACACAAAACCCACGGAACTAGTAAATTACCCAGTAAAGCAACAGTAACTTCAAATTACATCTCACCAAGTTTCAGCATATACATGCTTATGGCCTATTGCACACACAAAGATTCGTTTTCTATCCAGTGTAACACAGAAGGTTGGGGTCCACTTAAAAAAACCAAATACCACTACATTTAAACAAGCAGTCTAACTTCCAGCCTGTTAATATTAACATTAATATTTTCACCAGTAACAAGGCATTATACAGCAAGAGAAACTTATGCATCACTTAGAGATGTTTCAAAGCGTTGTATTTTATTTAAATCAAATGCGACTGACCTAGTTCTTCAGAAGTTTTAGCTGTAATTCTTGAAAACATATTCAATTTAAATCACTCTTCGAAATGCAATAATTCCCCTAAATTACTTAAAACAGTAATATCAAAAGTATTAGTTGGTATTACAAGGTGACATCTGCCCCATCAGTTTCAAAAGTCAGAAGGTCAGCAAAGCAGCCACACACAGGCATATTTCACACAAGAGTGAACAATTCTGTCAAATGGGGACACAAAGTGAGGTAAAAGACAGACAGGAAAACTAATGAAAATAAAGTAGTTAAACTTTTTATGCATATTGGCAACAATTTGCACACCCATACTTTTTTACACCTCAGATAACTGCAGCCAACATAAAAATATTCCACTCTGGTGGAATTAGCATACAGAATGACAGATATTTTTCCGACAGGCAGCTGCTCTTAGATGAAAGACTCTGCTATAACTAATCACATATCCCTAAATCTGCTGTAGGCTTGCGACAAAATATGGCTTGGAATTAGTCACATCCTGTAAGTTGGTGCATCTTCTTCTATAACATGAGACCATTAAGCAATGCTCTTCCTTCACAGGTGTTAAAATATTTAATTGACAAAGTAATTTGAATACACCTGCTAGCCAGGCTATTTTCAGCTATAGGTTAACTCAGAAAAGCAAGACGAAAACCAAGTTGCCACATCATCAACTGAAAGCATTTCTGACCAAAAACCAATCCTAACTGGAAGTGCTGAACATGAGCTCCTTAGCTTTTCCAAGCCATCCAGACTGAAAAGTTATTAAAAATTCAGTTTAAATTGATGGAAACTCTGCCTTCTCCTATACCTACTCCTCTTGCTCTTTACTAGTTTTAAGTACATTCTTACCCTAGTTCCTATTAAATTTTGAATCTGAGCAACAATAAAATGAAACCCACAAGCCTTCAGCCAGTGATAGCTGAATTCAATTTACTTATATGTAAATTAAACACATAAATTCTATTTTTAGAACGGAAATATTAATGTAATCTGCAAGAGAAATCCTATTCCTGCAATTCATAATCATTGGTTTCCATTAACCATCCATGAATTTGTATTCATGTTAATAAGCTATTAAAGATATAGTTCTTAGTTTTACTTCCATCATACCTAGCATCTTCTTGCTGTAATGCCAGCTGACTATCCAGTCGTAAAGACAACAGCTGCTTTTGATGGATTGCATCGTTAAGCTTCTCTTCTAGCTCTTCAGTCTAAATAGGAAGAATACAAAATCAAGAAAATTTGTTACTTTGGTACATTTAAAAAATGTATTTTACAAAAAACACAACTTGAAAGAAAAAAATGGAGAGATGAATGCCCTGGAAAGTACAATAGAGATTGTTAAATATGCTAAGACTTCATAAAACGTGATATGGATTTTGCTCTCATAATAAAAAATGCTTGGTTCTAAAACTGATCTTTTCTCAGCCAAATAGCTATGTGTTCAGCCAATTTCAAACTAGGTTTAAACTCAGAGCAGCAAGCCACTGAAAGCCACATTTACTATACAGTAGGTTGTAACCATGGGCTGTGCATGAACACAGCAAACCTTTGACATCTTTGTTTTGTGCATCTTAGTGGAAACTGCAGGCAAAGTCTCCTCCTGATATCATGTTAGTTGACATATTCTAGCCACATCTTCATTAACAGATCATTGAATAGTATTCAGATTACTTTTTCTGGTATTCCACAAGTTCAGCTTAAAAGTCCTATTAAGCTGCTTCCATCAGTGACAAACATATTCTTCATTTCTGAAAGAAAAAAAGTCTTTTTCCTTAGTTTGTAGAAAAGGAAAAATTTGATCCCACCTCATTTATTTCTAAGTATAACGACCTGGACAAGTCAGCTATGTTTTCCATATCTTTGTTCCTTCCTTTCCTCATTAAAATACCAAACAAAATCAACCAAACAGAAAATACTAAAAAAAATCCCTGCAAAATTAAATAGGCTTCCAGCATGCAAATCACAGAAATTCTTTTAAGAAGAGTTTCTACCATAGTCTAAGAGCACCAGAAACAATAAAACTGAAAGGAACACTTCCTACCTTGGTCAAATATTCTGCTTTCAAGTTGTCGATCATCAAGTTTTTCTGAGATAATTCTATTTTAAGCAGCTGAAGATTATGGAGCAACTCCTTCCGCTCAATCAGCTGCTTAGTGATTTTAACGGTACCTTCTCTCTCTTCAGAGGAAGAAACATCATCAGTTGGTATTGTGGTTTCCAAGCTAATATCTTCAGACTCCAAAGAGCTAGAAATGTTTACTTTCTTGATTTCCTTAGAGCTTTTATGTGACATTTTCTTTCACTACTTGCAACGCTTTTTTAACTTTACTTTGAGAAGAGTCACCCGAAGAATCGACTGCAAGAATCAAAACAGTTAAGTGAAAGGCATTAGGTCATTATGAAAAATTAACCAGTCAAACAAGACCACTATGCAGTACTTCTCAGTATTACAAGTATATATATTTTTGTCCGCTCACGAAAAACATTTTAAGAAGCTCTGATGAGGACGGTTGCCTCTCCTCGTAAACAATTATTAACAAGGGTTTTGAGTACAATGAGCTAAATACTAGTGTGAATCAAGCTCACCAGTAAGATGTTATAGCTAAATCAAGATATGCACCTGCCGTTCACACTGTCAGAAAAGCATGCACCAAAAACTCCCTGAGACCCATGAGGCATACAGCATCAGAGAACATCCAATAAGGGGCATAACAAGACTTGCTGGAGAAAAAGGCAAAGAAATACTTTGATAGCCAACTTTACCTCCTGTGAAGAAGTTCTTACTGTTCTTATTGTTCTTACCAGGTTACTTTACCTAAGTCACACATACTTTTACAGCCACTTGGAACGGATCTCCGTAACAGATCATAAAGTCGTTTTGGTTGGAAAAGACCTTTAAGATCATCAAGATCATTAACCTAACACTGCTGAGCCCACCGCTAATCCATACCCCCAAGCACCTCATCTACACATCTTTTAAATGTCTCCAGGGATGGTGACTTCCCTGGGCAGCCTGCTCCAGTGCTCAACGACAACCCTTTCAGCAAAGAAATTTTTCCTAATATCCAACCTAAACTCCCCTGGCACAACTTAAGCCCATTTCCTCTCATCCTATCACTCATTATTCGGGAAAGAAGACCAACGCCCACCTTGCTACCATCTCCTTTCAGGCAGCTGTACAGTGGTAAGGTCTGCCCTCAGCCTCCTCTTCTCCAGGCTCAACAACCCCCGTTCCCTCAGTCGCTCCTCTCAAGACTTGTTCTCCAGACTCCCTCACCAGCTTCGCCGCTCTTCTCCGGACACGCTCCAGCACCCAACACACGCCGTCCACAGCCTCGCAGACGGACAGGAGACGCAGGACGCGGCGCCCAGGCCA